TGAATATGCATAAGCCAAATACGTTTTGGGGCATGTGACTTAGCATGTGACTTGCAAATTGGGGCATGTGACTTATCATTCAAGAGCTTGTAATTCACTGAATGTTTATATGCAGTTGTGTGCATGTATCATTTCTGTATTTGAAGTTATAAATATGAAGTATAAACCTCTTTGTTAAACTAGGTCTTCTAGTGAAAGCTATTGGTGATACTTAAGGAACTTAATGGCCTGCTGCTCAAGTCAGTGAGATGTGAATAGTCTTGTTTTTCCAGTAAGCCTGGATTATGCTTGGTCTTACAAAGATATGTGACCATGCCACCTGGTCCTGGAATCCATTTTGAATTGTGTACTTTTCTATAGGAGTGGGGGGGAATTGAACAAAGACTTTGCACCCTGGGGAAATTCTGTATAAACAATGGGATGCAAGCTATGATGGTCTTCAGCTGGCTTCACAGACTGCACCCTACCCTTAAAGGATACCTGAAAACACCTGGAAATAAAAGAACTCTAAGGACAGGGATAGAGAGAAGCTGCTGGACCTGTGTCAGAAAAAAGATCAGCTCTAGCCTGAGTAGGACTTTACCTTAAATAAGAACTAGGGTGGGAAATTGTTTTGTAACACCATGCTTAGCTGGCATGTTTTGTTTTGTTTTTTATTTTGCTTAGTAACTTACTTTGATTTGTTATCCTTTGCAGCCACTTAAATCCTACTTTATATATTTAATAAAATAGCTTTTGTTTATTATCAACCCCAGTGTAAATAGGGGTGTGTGTGTGTGTGAACAGCTTTGTAGATAAAGGGGGCAAACATCTTATGAGCTCATTCTATATAAACTTTATGCATAATGAGACACATTTATTTGGGGTTTTGTTTCTATTGGGGCTGTGCCCCTTGGTGCTCTGTCAAGTCCGTGTCATTGAGCCTTCCCAGAACTGAGCTGTTCTATGTCTGTTGGGCTATGTCTACACTGCAGAGTTATCCCGGAAAAGCTCTGCCGCATCCGAGGAAGACGTCTGCTTTTCTGGCGGGGGGAGGTCAGAAAAGCAGATGTGTTTTTTCAGCATCCCAGCAAACCTCATTCTATGAGGAAGAAGGAATGTTTTGAAAGAGTTTTTTCTGACATTTGGTCCCATGTAGATAGGCCAAATGTCAGAAAAGCCTCTTTCAGAAGAAAATCGGAAAAAGATACGTAAATTGCAGTTCACAATTTGTGTATTTTTTCCAACTTTTCTTTGTAGTGTAGACATAGCCCTAATCTGCTCGGGACTGTATCCCAACTCTGTGCCTTTTCTGAGAGAGATCAGCACTTCTGGCTCAATAGGATAGGAGGATGGAGTGCCTCAGAGGGCAGGTAGGCAGCCTCAGTGATATAATTAGCCCATCAAGTAACAGTCTCAAGGGGATCTCTGTGACCCAACCTGTCACATGACCCTTGTGCATTGCCTTTGTGGATCTAACCAAAGCATTCAATACAGCTGAGCATGTCTGTTTGCAATATTAGAAAAGAAGATGTCTACTAACCTGCAATATTGTTGTGGAATGAACATTTAAACTTGAGAACAGCTATCCAGTTTTATAAGTCCACTTTGGAATGCTTTGAGATGGAAAAAATGGAGTGAAGCAAGGATGTGTTCTTGCCCCTATACTCTTTGCGATTGTCTTGTTAGCATGCCTGAACTGTGGGTTTAAGCATGTGAAAGATGGACTGTATATTCACATAAGATCAGAAGGGAAACTCTTCAGCCTATCCCAATTTAAGTAAAAAAGGTGCTAATTGGGGAACTTCTGTTTGCTGATGATGCTGCCCTCATAGACCACAATGAAGATCTACTACAAGAACTCACGGACCTCCATTCAAGTATGTCTCACCATCAAAGAAATCGGTTATATAGGGACAGAGGTTCCACAAGATCCTTCAGTTATCTTAAATGCAGGAAATAATAAAAAAGTTCAGATATTTAGGTTCTGCAGTGACCACCAATCTCTCAATGGATGAAAAACTAAATGTTCGCAGAGGGTAGGCTGCCACCATCTTTAGCAGACTAACTAGAAGAGCATGGAACAACTCAAAGCTTACCATCAAGTCTAAAATGCTAATGAACCAAGTTTGCATCCTCAGCACTCTTGTGTATGGTGGAGAAACATGGACAAATTATGTTCATCAGGAGAAAAAGTTGAACAGTTTCCACTTATGCCTCTCACTCTACCTACCAAATGTCAAGATAAAATCACCAGTGCAGGGGTTCTTCAAAGGACAAATTTGCCAGCTGTGACAGCTCTTCTCAAGCAAAGATGACTGTGTTGGCTGGGCTGTCTAAGTTGGACGATGGATGTATATGCAAGAACGTGCTATAGGAGGAGCTATCAGAGCGAATGAGAACAGGCTGCCTCAGACTTTGCCATAAAGACACATACTATCAAGAAATGAAGGAATTCGCATTGATCCTGACCAATGGGAAATCTTGGCAAACTATCATAAAGTGCTGCCTTTGTCTCCTTGAGGATATCAGTGTCCATGACAGGAGCTGACTCCCACAGCTTGAGAAAAGAACCCAAAGGAAGTAAGCAGTTCCCAACCAAGATATATACATCAGCAGTAACTGCCAAAGATCCTGCAAATCTCAGATTGGGCTGTTCAGTTACACGAGCAGTAACTTATGATTAGATGGTTTTCAGTTCCCACTGTCTCTCGCAGATGAAAGAGTGCCAGCAGCTGCTTTTTGGGGAGTTAATGCAATTTCTGGCTAGGAGTTGAAAGGTGACTATAGAAGTCCAGAACGTGTGTGCTATTGACTTTACACAATATATTTTCTGCAGAATGAGGAATTTCAGTGCCTGTCCCTTCACCCACATATGAAAGTGGTAGTGAAATTTTTCAACAATTCTTTCTTTGATCTGATCTGTCTTTATTTTTTATAGTATTGCTGTAAACAGAAGCTGACAGAGGCAGACAGTTAACAAAAGCCAAAATTATAATTTACACTTTAATAAGGTTAAAGAAATGCAAACAATTTAACACACACACACACACACACACACACACACACACACACACACACACACACACACACACACACACACACACACACACACACACACTCTCTCTTGTTATGCACTGATGAGCCTAACTAGTTTTAGTAAATTGTTGATTTTTGAAATTATTTAAAAGAATTGATTTCTAACAAACTCATATGGAATTAGTTCTGGTGACTGTCATATAATATGCCATGTATTGTTCTATTTATTTTCACACCATGCACATCGATGTGGTAGCACTTGTCTCTGAAATGTTACTGCTCTTAATTAGGTATCTCTATATTATAAAAAACTAGTTTTAGTAAATTGTTGATTTTTGAAATTATTTAAAAGAATTGATTTCTAACAAACTCATATGGAATTAGTTCTGGTGACTGTCATATAATATGCCATGTATTGTTCTATTTATTTTCACACCATGCACATCGATGTGGTAGCACTTGTCTCTGAAATGTTACTGCTCTTAATTAGGTATCTCTATATTATAAAAACGGCTTGAGAACTGTAATTCAAGAAGTAAGCAGTGACTGTCTTAAGTCACTGGATGAAACTTTCCCTCTTTCCTTAAAGGAAGCTGTTGATCGTGCACTTCTTAAAAATAAATCAGGCAGCAGAGGGATAATGAGCTTTGAAGATTTAAACAAGATTTATAAGATCATTAATTAATTTATTTCAGTGAACTCCTCAATATAAATATGGCTCTTCAAATCCTGGATAGTAATATGGTATTGTATGCAACTTGTATTTATTACTTCTTTCAAAGCATTTGTACATTTACAGATTACTCAAGTTTTTATTAGTTTAGGACTTTAAGTAATTCTAAAAACATGGGTTGGAAGATCACAAAAAGACGTTAGAGAATTGTCAAAGTTTCTATAGCTCTTGCATGTGAAAATGAATATTCCACATTTTTCAAAATTTGCTAAACATTCAACGGCCTTGGGTATAGTAAATGAATTGTATTTCACCGCTTTATGATAGAATTGCTGAGATTCCAACAAAAGTTTTGGGGTCCTTTTAGTTGTGAATAGACACCATATGAATGATCCAGGAAGAGTTAAATAATTAATGATATTTTTGTGCCCTGGCAAATGTTGCAGAATTAATGTTGCTTTGCTTCCAGTCCATCCCAAATGCAACAGCTAAGATCACCTATCTTGTTAACTGTGTGCTATCTCTGGCAATCCATTGGATGTCCATCCATTATAGTAGTGCCAACATTGAACGGCCATTGGCCCATTTCTTTCACAAACATTTCCATTCTTTTTTCTGCACCTCCCTCCACCTGTAAATTGCTCTGTCTGAACTAATCCATCAGATCTTCTTCATATCGTACTTCAAGACCTACTTGTACTGTGCAATCTATATGAAATGTAATTGGTTATTAATGGTTGTGTTTAATGACAGTAGGTAAACATGGATACTGTTTAAGGGTTTTTTAAATAAAAGAAGGAAACACCTTTTGGAAGCATCAAGTTGTGCTTAACTTTTGTTGTAGCTACATGATCATATCGTTCTTTCTCCTGCTATCGCTTTCTTCCCCCTATTTATTGCACTTCTTGCTGTTTGTTTCAAATTAGATTGTAAGAAGATTTTTAGTATATATTAGGGATGTAAAATCCTATTTAATTATTTAAGTTAAACTTGATGTTTTACCGGTTAACCAGTTAAAAGGGGGGACAGGCGCCTGGGCTCACCATGGACAGGAGATGCTTTGGTTGGCTGGAGGCCCTTGTCTGTGGCAGGCCTTGTGGGGCTGGAAGAGCAACTGTCCATGGTGGGCATGGAGCTGCTCCAGTCCCCATCGGTTAACCGGAACCAGTAAGCATCACCTGTTAATGATGATGCTTACCAGTTAACTGTTTGCATCCCTAGTGTATACTGATTTCTTTAACTAGTAGGTATATGTTGTCTCAAATTAGGATCCTAATTGTGGGGGATGGTTTTCCCTTCTATTCTTTATGTTTCCTAGGAAAGTGCCCAACAGGATGGCATCACTATGAAGGCACAGCCAGTTGTTACAGGGTGTATTTAAATGGAGAGAATTACTGGGATGCTGTGCAGACATGTCAGAGGGTGAATGGATCACTGGCCACTTTTACCACAGATCAGGAGCTTAGGTTCATCTTGGCACAGGAGTGGGACCTAGAAGAAAAAGCCTTTGGAAGGAAGGACCAACGTAGGTGAGTCAGAATTAAAAATAACTATTCCATATTAAGTGAACATTATTTCTACATGAATTAATAAGTAATTGTTAATGTTGTGCCAATCAGTTTGGCTTGCTTAGAATTGAATGATAACATTATTTTAAATTAAGGAACTGCTACAGCATTCTAACAGTTAAATTACTGCCAATTGCCATTAGTTTTATATTTTCGCCAGCATCAGTGACAAAACTGCAAGTTAATATGATAGCTTGCAGTCAAATAACTTTTCAGTCTTGCTGTCTTTGCATCTATGAAAAGAAAACATAGAAGAAGTTTTAGCAAGAAGTATTTTAGTATGGCATGCTTTATGCTGAGATTTTTCACTTGAGTATTGGGAGAGTTCTATGATTTCTTTAAACTTTTAAACTGACCAGGTTTATTGGCTATAAATGGTGACACAGATGCTAAATCGAGATAGGAATGTAAGGCCCGTTCTGAGAGACGGCTCTGGATGTTTGCTCTAGTTTAGTTTGAGAGGAGGAGAATGTTCTTTCAGGTAGAAAATCTGAGAAGATGTCTCCATCCCAAAATAGAATTACTGATATTTATCTGCTGGCTGTCCTGTCACTAGTAGTAGTAATTTTTTGTTGCTGTTGCTACTTCTGGTTCTAATTCAGTATCAGACAGGAAGTGCATTTGATATATATTTTAAGAATATGCATTGCAGTAAGTTGCATTTGCAGTATTTCTATATAACATGACTTCAAAATGGCTCAGCGTGATCATAGAAACAAAATAAGCTCTATATTTATGCTTTTTTAAACAAATCACAGCATATTTCATTGACAAAATAACTAATAGTGATTTCTATGTAATAGGAACAATCCCTTTTTAAAAAGAAGCTTCTGTTCCAAAAATACGGACTTCGAGTATAACAATGTAGAACAAATATTTTAAAGTCAGTTTAAAAGTGAAAAATAGGAAATTTTAATAGTGAGGCAGGCTCTTTATTGTTCTCATTTTTATAGTAGTAATTTTCCTTCTCTTGCTTTCTGGAATTTTTTAAAATATATGTATTTCTTTAACTATAGGTTCTGGGTTGGATATCAGTATGTTATAACTAATCGAAATAGTTCATTAGAAGGCCACTGGGAGGTAGCATATAAAGGTAAGTTTCTGAAATTAGATGCTAACTTCCATGCAACTTGCTTAAAAATAAAACTAATTAAATATAAACTTAGGCATGAATGTAATCTATAGCTACATGGTTTCTTTCAAGTGGGATGTGGGGAGAAAACTTGCTGTAATTCACAACATCCTATGGAGTGCTGTGTTAGATGTTAGAAATTTCCTAGTACTAAATGACTGCAAACTATAATGTTAGGGCAGAAATCTTCCATTCTTCCTATATGAGGGTTTCCTTTGAGAAAAATGCATTATTTATAGAAACTTCTAATTTTGGAAGGTGAAACCATTCTTACTTTGTCATTCCCTGGCAACTAAATCTGGCAGAATTTTGTGGTTCCGTATACTAGTAGTTTTTCAGAATTTCCATTTAAAAAAAACCAGTCTGTGCGGAAGCACTTTGTAGAATAAATAGGTTTATCTGTTATGAAGTATGTTTGTGGCTTCAGTTCAGAAAAACGAAGAACGCTTAAATGCATTCTCATTTTGTAATCTGACCAAATTTTTGGACGAGCCAGAATGTATCTCCTACCTGTTTTATTGCTCAGCTGTTAATTAGAAACTATTTGCAGCAGTCTCAGAATTTTAAATCTGCAGGTTACCAACTGGATACTAAACAGAAGTAATCTACAGATAATGTATCTGGAATGTGGGGAAATGACAGCATTAATATGTAGTTATTGAAATAGAAAGTATCTGTATTAAAAGGGCAAGCTTGTTTCACCCTGATATTTTAAAGTAGATCTAGTTTGCAACAGGGCCAGAATTTTTCGACACAGCTATCATTTGGTTCCTCTGATACAGAGTTTATTGAAATAATTCTTCAAAACTTAGTGCAACTGTCCCATTAGCTCTTAATTTTTTTTAAAAGGTGTAAAAGTCAACTCTTCTGAATAGCTGATATACACTGTTGCCTAGATTCTAAATAGTTTGTCTCCCTTTGTTTATCCTGCCAAGGTCACATTTTCAAATGTAGCTGTACTCTGAGAAGTGACTGTAGCCTTGTTTCATTTTAATCCATCTGGAATGTTTGTTGCTATAATGTTTGGATCAAATATGTCCATTGCCCCATTACAACAGAACATTTCAGTGTGATTAGCCTCCTTGAAAGTCAGTGAGTATACTTGTTTTGATGAATTAAGCACAATAATTTCTGCTGGACCAATACTTTGATATGCTGCAAATTCACCTAAAATCTAATGTTAATCTCCATGATTTCCTTCTCAGGCATCACTTTTGGCAATAGAAGATGTGCAGGATAAGTTCTTCGCACACACCTGTGCAACTCGATTGTTCATAGTCATAACTTAGAGCAGAATTTGACGTAACAGAACTTGATTCAGTTCAGTTCATGTGCAAGTAGTAGCAGCAATGGGGTAGCCATTGACACATGCCCAGTATATAGAACATCCCTCAGTAGTCCCTGACAGTATGACTGCACAAAGCAGGCACGGTCATGCTGAGCTGAGGATTCTGTTTTACAGAATGTGGCACTTTACCTCCTCTGGTAGAATCTCTCACACACCATGCATTCAAGGTCATACCTTTGCAGGTAATGTGGTAAAATAGCATCCTCTGTGAATGATACCAACAAAATCACATCTCGTTCTAGGGGCATTTCTAAACTACTTTCCTCTTTCAAAAGAGGAATGTAAATGGGCAAATCGAAAGTGCAGATGAAGCGCGGATTTAAATATCCTGTGCTTCATTTGCATATTTGTGTTTGAGTGCTCTTCCTTAAAGGGTTTTCCTAAAGTGAAAGCACAGTCTAGATGGGTTTTTTTTTTTTTTAAAAACAAACAAAAAAACCAACCCCTTTTTCGAAAGAACATGTACTCCTGAAAAAATGAGGAGTACAGGTTCTTTCGAAAGGTTTTTTTTCCCCCCCAAAAGATCCCCATCTACACTGTGCTTTCACTTTCAAAAAATCCTGTTTCAAAAAAGGGCTTGGAAGCAATTATGCAAATGAAAGAGGAATGTAATCTAGACATAGCCTAGGATAGAACTAGGCAGGGGACAGACCATACAAAAACAGGACAGTCCAGCTTTAAACCTGATGCACGGCCTGCCTACGTAGCATCCTGCTCAGCTGTTCCATAGTAGCATTGGCTTTATGCTGCCAACAGGAATCAAAGTATTTACACTTATTTTTACTCCTAAAGTGAGCATATCTGACTCTGAATGTTCATAGAGCATTTCTTTGCTGAGCAAAGAGGTGCTGCTTTCACATTTGCTTTAGGACAGAGCAGTATTTCAGGGTTTCTTTTGAGGGTGGGGGGAAATTTCAAAAATACCATAAATTATCAGCCTATAAAACAGGAAAAATATGGCTCTCTTTCTCTTGAAGGGAAATGTCATTGCTCTTTTCTGGGAAGTTGACTGCACTTCCATCTGCTGGTGAAACTGTTTAGAGCAGTTATAACTTTATTTTTCTTAATGTGTACCATTTAACAGTCAGTGTTAGAATTATGACTACTTATTTGTCAGAAGATGACATAAATTCATGTTTTCTTGATTTCATAGAACCTTTGAGAGTCTATTAAAAGTAGACGATCATGAAAAATTGCAGAAGTAACTCAGTCCCATTTTCAAAAGTGATCACTTAGCTACTATTGAAAATTTTGCTCCATGAGAATTCTGTATAGTCTGTTGAATGGACTCTTCTCACGAAGTCAGTGGAGAGGATAGGTTCTTTTTTTCATAAAAGTCAAACAGTACTTAAGCACACTGTTTCAGAGGACCAGTTTAGCATGTTAACCATATGATGTCCAGGAATCAGAGTATTAAGAGCAACATTTCAAGCCCGAGAACCCAATGTTGGACTCCTAAATTCATATGCACTGGCTTGATTTTGTTTTTCCCCACAGCTGCCTTGAAGACAGTGGAAAATCCAAGTGCCCCTCAATTTTGGATAAGTGGCCACTTTTACTTGGCTGTCTAAAAATGAAGTTAGACACCTTAATTTCAAGCACCTGTGTTTGAAATTGTCAACTCTAGATACCAAATGCGTGTTTTGTAATAATCTCACTTATACTACATGTATCACTTCTTCTTGGCATTAAAATTTGTAAATTTAGGGAAGCTGCCAATATGGAACACTTTACATTATTTAGATAATGTCATGTAGTCATGTTATCACATGAAATAATGTGTGTTATATTTCAATGGCACTGAATCTCTACAGAGAACAGACTGGTGGTTTTGTGTTGCTGGTAGTAAATCTGTTTTATGTGAATGTAACAGACAAAGGGGATTTATCTCTCTCTAAAAAAGTTTTCCTGCTGGGTGAAAGAATAATGTCGTCATGCTCTCTGGCCACAAAAGCAGTTGTGGGGAGAGTTGGAGAGCATAGGAAGCACGGGGCACAGCCCACTACTATTAATTTAATAATAAACTGCTTGCTCTCACAGCATTTTTGTCATTGTTTTCAAAAGGGATTAGTATAGATGGGAAAGTGGACTCCCCATTTTACAGGTAGGATAGCTGAGGCAAAAGCTCTTAATTATGTTTATGATGTTTCTTGCAATCAGGGACACTGAGAGTGTGTGTCCAGAAGTGCTGACTCTATGCCTTGTCCTCAGTCCACTAGTTCACAAAATGTACACACACACAGGAATAGTAGCTTCAGGGGGGAGCCGAGTTAGACTGTTACAGAAAAAAACAACAAATGGTCTGGTAGCACTTTATAGACTAACAAAACATGTAGATGGTATCATGAGCTTTTGTGGGCACAGCCCACTTCTTCAGATGATCGGAGTATGAGGGATAGGAGATTACCTTGTGTAAACATTAGCATAAAAACATGGGGTTAGAGTATCAGGCCTTGCTGAGTTGAGGGTGGGAGAAATAAAGATGCTGGTTAATGACTCCAGGGGGGGCATTACAGCGCAGAAGGAGCAACTTAAATATATCCAAGAAACCACAATAGTGCCATTTCCTTAGTTTAGGGATGGGAACCTTTTTTGGGTCGAGGGCCACTTACCCACAGAAAAATAAGTTGGGGGCCACACCTAGGAAGGCCCAAGCTAATAGATTTTGTGGGCCCCTGTAGGCTCTGGGATGGAGCCAAAAATGAGGGGTTTAGAGGAGAGCTAATCAACTTTGGAAGCCCCAGGGGCCACAATAATACTTGCAGCACATGCCTTGGGCTGCAACTTAAGTGTGGTTGCATATACATGCAAGTACAGGCAGTCCCCGGGTTACATGAATCCGACTTACATCGGATCCCTACTTACAAATGGGGTGAGGCAACCCCGCACTAGCTGCTTCCCCCCAGCAGACCAGGGAGACGCGAAGCTAGCGCACCCCCCCCTCCCCGCAGCTTGAGAATAAAGGACTGAGGGAAGTGAGGTGTGGGAGAATAAAACTGAGCTCTGGAGAAATGTTTGGCTAGAGTTTCCCCTACAATATGTACCAGTTCCGACTTACATACAAATCCAACTTAAGAACAAACCTACAGTCCCTATCTTGTACGTAACCCGGGGACTGCCTGTAGTGCCAAATTTGCATATCTCCTTTCAGAAAAGAAAGTAGTCTAGAGATGGAATGAAGATTGTGGGACTGCCCTACAGGTAAGGGATTGGGTAGAGGTAGGAAATATGGAGGTCTTAATTGACATGCAACGTTTTCCTTAATCTTTTTTTTATTGATATGTAAGGAGGCAAATGTATTGTTCACCATGGGTGTGTCTAGACTACATGCCTCCGTCGACGGAGGCATGTAGATTAGCCAGATCGGCAGAGGGAAATGAAGCCGCGATTAAAATAATCGCGGCTTC